CGTCGTATTTTTTTAGGGCGATTCGTAGGATATCCCCTCTCCCCCCTTTACATTAGTGTTTGGTGAATTTTCTACGTCAAGTCCAGCGCCCTCGAAACTCTAATCGATTTCATAATACGTACTAAGAGCTAATGCCCGAAATATCATCAATATCGCTTAACTCCTTCATGTTGTATTTTTTACGATGACTATAAAATTTAGCATCGGCGGACAGAATTTGTATGTTCATATCTCATGGGCCAATTTAAAAAAAAAAGAATATGACGCTTTCCTTGGTGACTTGCTTCTGTATCTCTGCGCCTGATTTATTCACGAGTTTCATGGGTTTGAGGTTGCCATTTGTCAGAAACCGTGTTCCATAAAGCAAGTGCTGTCACTCAAAACTACCTTCCATCCTCATCTGACTGATTTAAATATTTCAAAACTGAATGCAATGCAACCCATAAAACGGAATATGGGAGGTTACGAGGTACTTAGGTGAGCCTCCGTTCTTAGAATAAACTGTAACATTCCTTATTCAATCGCCTTATTCAATGGTCTGTGTGTCAGCGCGTACTTTTCCTCAATGTTTACAGGAATACTTCTATGTACGAGGTACTTAGCTCTTAAGCATTTCTTTATTGCGAGAGTAATACAAACTTGACTGCCATTTGGCAATATAAACTTCACATAAGTTTTAAATCGTAAATTTCCATTCGTAATACAATTTGTATTAATAATAATAGTAAAACAAATTTGAAATTTGAAAGTTCTCGTGGAACAGAATTGAGTTGAGTGGAAGGTCGTCTCTTCTTGGCGCCAGCCATCGACCATTCGTTTTCAGGCATTTCTTTTCAGTCTTCCTCCTCCCTCATACTTTCATATCTCCTTATTACTTCGCCTGTAGCACCTATAATGGTGAACTCAGAAGAGGTTCGCTACGGAACTTGGCTTTGCCCATCTTCTTTGCAAGAAAGTCAGCTTTGGTTTCTGTATTCGCCTTCATATTTGGCGAACAGAGTGAACGAGGTAGACTCACTGGTGAAAGTGAGAGAGCGGGAGAAAGGAATGGCATTGAAATATGATGAGTAACTTCGTGACCGTTCTCAAAGTAATGTAAGCGAGTTCAGCGCTTCTGCTCTTGCAACATCAACTGCTCCCACGCGGAAAAAAGAACGTTGAAGAATATTTCCCAAAATCATCTGTTTCATCCTCCTCCGTGCGCCAAAAATGTGATTGTTAGTCAAGGTAGGGACAGATTTTAAAGTATCCTCTCCTAGTTCTTCAATAAACGGATAAACCATAGGCCTCTGTCTTGTGCGGTGGTAGGATTATAGAATGCAGGTAATTGGTTTTTCTTCCGGCAACACTGCCAGACGATCAGTCGACATTTATCGATGCGCTCAGAATAGAGGGAGTTCCGAAGGTGAATAGGCCGAGTTAATGGGATGCAGAGAAATCTTAAGAACAAACAATCCTTGGGAAATGCCCAACCTTCCAACCCCAGTGTATGAGGGATTATGGGGTGATATAAAGTGTAAGGAGGTGAGGATGGAAAGAATGTATCTTAAAATGTTGGTTTAACCCAGAAAGCAATGGTTCCCAAACTCCTTCAAATCGCGACCCACTTGCAAACTTCAAAAAATGTTGCGACCAGCCACAATTTAAAGCGATTACTCTCCGATGGAATTAGAATCTTTGATCGTAATTTCCCTCCTCCCCCTTTCTTTTTTTTTTTTTTTGGGGGGGGGGGGGGGGGGGGGGGGGGGGGGGGGGNCTAGACCTAATGTTCTGAGTTCCGTTGAGAAAAAAGGGGGGGGGGGGGGGGAGGGGAGGATGGCTGGAAAGATCAATAGTTCCTTTTTCATGATGTCCCTCGCACTGGTGGCTCGTCTGGTGAGGCAAGGGAGGCCCGGCCTCATAAAAAATTTGAGTATGCACTCTTCCAAGAGACTTGGAAATATTCATTAAGATAGTAAATATCTGAAAGAAAATTCTCTGAAGCATTTGATTCATTGTCAATTGACGCAAAAAAGAGCGAAATCCGGTTTCAGACAGTTGATTCCTCCTCAGAATCGCTGGTAGCAGGTCAGAACGAGGTGGCCTCCTCTGGTCCATAGATGATGCATAAGGGTATCACACAACACGCAATACTGTAAATACTTCAGCGTGGAGGCCGGCCTCACCGTCTACATTGTGCATGGGCAGATACCTGCCAGCTAGAGCAAGCACGTCTTTAGGCTCTTTGCTCGAAATAGAGAGCTATTCGTTCATTCGATTTCGCATTGACAATTAACATCGGCGCAATTTCCAAGGATGGAAAAGTCACCAGATATTTTCTGATTAATCGTGATATTCGCTAAGTGCGCTAGATGTGATTCTGTTCTGATAAAGTTCTGAAACTCGCAAGGGGGGGGGGGGTCATCTAACCGATGCGTTTATTCTCAGATTGGATGTACCTCTAATTGTTCCCTAAGTGCTCGATGAAAGCATACATTTCTGCACTGCTTTTACATGATTTCGATCCAATATAAACTTTTTAACATGGAACGTTTTCTCGTTCTGCGTTTTATTTGCTACCTACCACTTCAAGAATTGCCACTCATCAATTGATAAAACCGACCATAACACACCTATTACTTTATTAATACTACTATGAATTCTCGTTCACCATGAAGATCATGCTGAAAATTTTCCCCCATGAGGATTGAGAAAGGTTTCGTTGGCTATTCTTGCCAGAGGTCCATCTATGGAAGTAGTTGAATTTCAACTGTAAATTCAGCTGTAAAATTATAAATGGAAATTTCCAGCTATTAAAAACAGTTGCAATCAAGTTGGAAATAATAGCCTGTATAAGAACCATTATCTAGCATTTTTCAGCTCTTAACCGATTAGAAAGGGTCTGAATTTACAGCTTCGGTCCAACTGGAAAGTTCCAGTTGGGATTTTAAACTGTGTGGTGAGATGTGCGTTTGCTAGCCTTTCCAGACACGATAGATTCGAGGCAGCTTCCCTACCCAGTTTAAAATCCCAACTGGAATATTCCAGCTGGACCAAATCTGTAAATTCAGACCATTTTCAGCTGGCAAAGAGCTGGAAAACAGTAGGTACCAGTTGTTTCTTAGCTGGAACTTTCCAACTGAAATGAATATGGTTTTAATAGCTGTTTCCAGCTGGAAATTTTCCAGTTGGAATTTTACAAGAGGACCCTACAGCTGGAATGTTGCTAACTTTACAGTTTAAAATCAGCTGTTCCTGTTGATGGACCTCGGACAAAAATAGTCAAAGAAAAGATTCTCATTCAATTAGTTATATTGCAATCAGGAACAACTCTGGAGATTACTCATTTCCAGCTGTTACCCAGTTGGAATGGGTCAGAATTTACAGCTGGAAATTATAGCTGTTTACAGCCGGGATTTTAAACTGGGTAGTAGCACATAACATTGAAACAACATTGATTCAACGTTGATTCAATATCAGGACGTTGAACCAACGTTGAAACAATGTTATGTGCGATTAGGGTTCTCTCCCATATGGTTATATTACATTCATAAGCGTAGCATGGATGGAAAACGGGTGGAGGGGGGGAGAACTCCGAGACACTGTACTCATGCATTTTATACGCCTTTTCCTTCGTTCTACTTTTTGTGGGAGGGGAGAGGGATGGGAGGGGAGGGGAGGAGGTTGGGCACGCAATCCCTCTGGCTTTCCCGACGCTACTCCATTGACTTTAATACTCCATTAAAAAAAACAGCGGTGGAGAGGTAGCCAACGGGATGATCCCTGCCATCGAGCTTCCATCGCCCTATCGAAACTCCTACACGTGTCGTCATGTACAGAGGTATTATATCCTAAATTCAAGGGAACTAAGAGACCTTGCAACCATGAAGAAATCGTCGTGATCGGTGAGCGGAATTTAGAGCGATGAATGAGGAAAGAGAGGGCTATATCTACTCAAATGAGTGGAGAGCGCTGTTTTTTTTTTCGGAATGGTGCTTTTGCCCTAGTGGGACATTTCTCACGACCCACTGTTTGAGAACCGCTGAGTTAGATCATGCATATCTCAACTCAGATGAGGATGAGGGAAAAGCAAAGAGCAAAGAACATGATTAATATGGGTTTCCAAAATGTGATAAAAGATTTCTGAGGCCTTGACGATGCAGATGGAACTACGAGATACAGCTATGGAAAGACACTGTGATGCCTGCACATTAGTCGAAGAGAATAGGAGGCCATGGAGACCAAGAGAGAGCCAAGGATATGAACAAGGGACACCTCTCCAGACCTATTCAATAATGGGTCTACTTGTCCTGGTGTTGGGAGGATCACACTGGGTCTACATAGACACCACCAATGACGCTTTCTGGTCATTTTCTTGCATTACTGAAAATTTTCACATTTTAATTTTGTCCTTTTGTCCGACTTGCAAGCAAAGGCGCCGACTTCTAAAAAAAATATAGGGGGGAGGGGGGGGGGGCATGCCCCTTCCACCCCATACCCTTACGGGGTGGCACAGGGATCTCCCCCAATTGGAGCTTTGGAGCTCCAAACAGATAGGAAAATCATATTTTTCATTTCTTTCGTGAAGCAGCATTTTGTTGTCAATTTTCCTTGTGCTATACTTTTGTTGAAATTTTGCCATTCTTGGGGGAGCATTGCCCCCTCAATAATATAGTTGGGGGGCACGTACCCCTTTGCCCCCCTGGGTTCGACGCCTATGCTTGCAAGGATATGTGGGCGAAGAGGTATGGTTACCATACTTCAAACAGCCAAAAAGAGGACGACCAGCTGTCGGACGGAAATTAGGAGGCGAGTACGGACATGTTCAGGGACGTATGGTAACCCATAGAACGCCTTCCAGGACGTATGGTAACCTTACAGAGAAAATTAAGCAAGTTGATTCCTATAAATAACCTGTACCTGGGGATTAAGTTGGAATCTAACGAAGGGGTCACTTTTGATATAGCAGAGAGACTAAACCAAAGCCGACAAAACCAAAAATGAAAACGTTGCCACTTCTTGCATACTCTTGGCTGTGCCCGCTCCTGCTGTCCACCGGTCGTTACGTGTATATGGACGATGCCTGTGTCCCACGTGCTTCACTAGTCGCAGCGTACGATTAGTTCGTCTGCTCTCGTCTTCCTTCGGGTGCGGTATAATCAGGCCTGCCTGACATTTTTGAGGGCTAGCCCTCTAATATCTACTGAAAATGAGCTTCATACGAGAGGATATCTCCGAACCTGAGGTGAGGGATCTCAATAGTTGCCTTCGAAACAGGGCTAGGCTAGGCAGAAAGTGCTTTGTCCCTGTTTCTTTAAATAAATGTAGGCCTCTTGGCGTGGGCTAGGTTTACGTTACGCTAGCCCGATTAGGCCTTGATCTAGTTCTCCATATATTTTACTTTCTATTACCACCATTGAATCGTGTCTGAAAATTCACAAAATGACGTTAGCTTTAAATGGATCATTAGGGTGACTGAATTTTTTTGTTGTTGAGGGAATCCTGGACATTTTCCCCACATTCCCAGCTGATGATGCTCAAGTGAACTACTAGACATGAGAAACCAGGACAATGAGAAGAAAAAAACCTGGAAAGTTGTCTCACAAGGCCAGAGCCAAAAATTACCAGGACTATCTTTGATAAAATGTGATACAAAAGAACCTGAGAACTCCAATCATGAGCCAAGACTCAAATACTCCACTGAGATGCAGAAATTATATGGTTGTTCAGGGAATGACAGACATCAGGAGAGGCATCTTGTTTATGATTAGATGAAACTTTTCAACACTGCACATACACTGTTTTTAGATTAAATTTGTAGTGAGAAACAGAGAATGCACTGCTTCTGGAGGATGTACTTCAGCAAGGGATCCACAAAACTACCTATATGGAAGATGGCACCTTCTGGAATTAAGTGCACCTGCACTGTTTCTGTATTGAATTCATTTAGGAGAGCTTCCATGGATTGCAGGTAGTGACATCTTACCCATGGGTGGTTTTGTCTATCACTTGCTGAGGCAGAACCTCTGGAAATGTGTGTTTTCTCCATTCTCCATTTTAGTGGGGTGGTGTGAATTCAATCTGAAAGCAGTGTATTGTGGATATCAATTCAATGCAAAAACAGTGTATAACTCGCATTAACTTAAATCAAGTAGCATCCCAAGCCTAGAGTGAAGTCTTTTATAGCTGAGAATTCATGCTATAGCATCAGTGAAACCTCTGGTCCAGACAGGGTCTCCACTTGACCACATTCCCTAGTGCATCTTGAGATATGACCAAATTTTTAAGTGCTTGTGTTAGGCATAGTTTATTGCTATATTTCTTGAAGCCTAGGTTCCCAATACTCTCAATTTCAAAGAGTTAAAATACTTAGTTTTCCATTTTATGGATATCTCTCAGATATGCCTTTCCTAAGGGTCTAATGCCCCCTTTCCTTATTCCTGTTGATTTTGTTAAATTTTGTGGAGTGTTTTTACCTCAAAACCTGGTAATTTTTCACTTCACTCCAACACCCAAGCTATAGACAAGTGGGAGTATCTGAAAGTGTCTGACTCAAAATGAAAAAAAAAATCTATATGGTAGAGGATAATTGTTTCCTCACTTCTTTATATGAATCTGCAGTCTAATGGCATTTCCTTGTGTAGTTCCCACCATTTACTCTGCCATAGGCTCTGCCTGATTGAGGAGCAAAGATTTCATTTGATTTAACATTAGGCCTACCTTAGGCCTAATGTTATACCAAATGCTAATATACTGCCTGGGAAAAAAAAGGAAAATGATGAAAATATCATTTTAAAAATGAATTTCTATGTGAAACAGGGGATAGATACTCTTCAACCAATTATTACTGGGAGAAACTTGTTTTTTATTCCTATAGAAGAATAAAAAAAACTAATATGTACAATTTTTTGCTTTGGTAGTGTTAGTTTTTTCCCAAGGAGTGTATTCTTTATGCATAAGGTATTTTTGGTTGGCACATTGTAATTATTTTAATCATATGGAAATGTAGGTTTGATAACAAGATTATATGGATGATTTCATATAGATTCCATCATGGAATTGCATTATTTCAAAAGAATACTGATTGGAGAATCTTGCAATTTGTGGATTATTGGTCTAACTTTGTAACCAGTCTAGATATGTTCATGCTTCTGTGCTGAAAGTTGGAGCCCTTTTAGCAAATATTCATGCGTATATTGACAATTCAACCCATACTGCATGAATTTTTCTTTTGCTGTGAAAAATTATATGCAGCAAAGGTAGTGATTCGCTCAGTTTGTAAACAGATGGCTGCACATTATAGGCAAGTTTGGAGCTTTGTATCTAATATGCCTTGTTATGCCCTTTGTTGAAGTAAATCATCATGTAAATTATATCAATTTGGTGGTTCGTGTTATATTTGACACAGTATGCAGAAAGGTAGTTAAATTATTTTATGCATCTGTCACCATATAGGGATCTTTTTTTTGTGGCTTTTATGTCAGAAAATATCTTCTGATATGAAGTCATATGAAGTGTCAGTGAGCACTGTCTTCTGTGAAGACTTATGCCTCTTGTTTAACCTGCCACCTGACTTTATAATCTTGTTTTTCTTGTCTATTTTACATCCTTATTTGCAAATAATCAGACCCTTTCTTATTGAGGGCAACTAGGAAATAATTTCTTATTCTCTCCTTGGAGGACTAAGCCTGACATGAACTGGAGATGAGCCATGTAGCTGAAGGCTTGGAATTTCCTAGCTATTGTTGCATGAGTCTTGGCTTGGTGTAATCAGTCCTGATTAGGCACATATTGAATCCTAGCTATAGCTTGTAGGAATAAGCATACATACTATGAGCCCAACCCTAAGCTGAGGTTAGTATATGTATTGAATGTTGTTCCAATAGCAAATGAAGGCTCAAGCAATAGTGGTGATTCATCCTGGTTCCCAAAACCTTCGCATTGGTCGGGCTTCAGATCCAAAACCGGTCACAGTTTTGCATGCAATTGCAAGACGAAGGAAACCCGAGGGTACATTTCATCAAGACCCTTCCATTGCACCTGCCATCAAAACAGTAAGGATCACTTTGCATTCTGTGATGTGCTGACTTAAAAGGGATCTTTGTGTGCATCAGGTCTGCTATCATTTCCAGGACAAGGGAACTTTGAAAAAGCTGGAGGAGAGTCGATTGAGCCTGAGTCACCTGTTACAATCTTGCCTGATGTCAAATGGAAAGCAGCGCTATGCAACCTCCTCACAGCAGATTGCTAGCTTCAATAAAGGCAGCAAACCAGTACAAGCTGATGATGCTACACAAAGCAAGTGCTTTTTGCCTGATGCAGATACTGATTGCATCATAGGAAACCAGGTCTTGCATGACTCATCTATTTTTTTTTAAGACCCTTAACCATGGGTAATGCATATTAGAATCTCTTTGCAGATCCTTGAAATGCAAGAAGAGAGTCTCCAGGACTTCAATCTTCATTTTCCTATGAAGAGGGGGGAATTGAATATTCACAAAGGACCAAGTGGAACTCTTACTGCCATCATGGCTGACTTGCAAGCCATCTGGGAATTCTCTCTCTCTCATTACTTCTCCATTAATCTCAAGGACCTCAAGGTAAGCCAAGACAAACAATTGGTGTCACAAGTATTGGTCATTCATACCCATCTTCATACCATCAACTCCATCTGCTTTGCAGTTTTCAGCAGCCCATCTTTCTTTCTGTTCTCTATTCCAAATATCATGAAGTCATAATCAATGATATTAGGAATTATTCTACAAGACCCTCTGCCAGCAACTTTGATTACTTATTGGATTCTTTTTCAACTTTTGCAGCATTATCGAGCAGTCTTAATCATCCCAGACATCTACAATCGGACTCATCTTAAGACTCTGGTGCATTTGTTATTGAAGAGAATTGGATTTGGAGGCTGCTTTCTTGTTCAGGTGAGAGTCATTGAGTCTCATTGATATGGCATTTGGTGTCACTCCTTGCCTGGTCCTCAAAGGGTTGGACAAAACAATGGATATTGTGACAGGATCATGTGGCAGGGACATTTGGTGCAGGTCTACCCCATGCCTGTGTTGTGGATGTAGGAGACCAGAAGACTTCCATATCATGTGTGGAAGATGGGATCTCTCATGTTGATACCCGGGTCAGTGTGTTGTTTTCCTTTCATAATTCATTTGCTTGCCCCCTTTTTCATACCAATATGAATGTTTCCTATTAAATTGTAGGTTCGTCTTGGGTTTGGAGGAGGGGACATATCTCAGGCTCTGCATTACCTAATGAAGAAGTGTAGTATCCCCTTCTCTCCTTCCAACCCTGTCCTCCCTTATGAATCTCAGCTCCTTCATAGATTCAAAGAAGATTTCTGTCATGTGAACCTTGTGAGGCCATAGCTTTGTTAAGTCCTTACACCTAGTAAGGAGGCAGTAATGTTGGTATAATGCTTTCTGTTTCTTTGACAAAGGACATCTGTGGCCCCCAGGAAAAGGTGATTCTGATAGAGAGGCCTGGGGAGAAGCCAGTGGAACATGTTATACAGGTGGGAGATGAATGCCTGGTAGCTCCTTTGAGCATGTTTCAACCAGATCTCCTTGCCATCACGGGGGAAAAGGAGATCCAGACTCAAAAACCTTCTGTTGGTGATCCTGATGATCCTCATGATCTCCTCTATTTGAAAGAAACCACCCGGTACCTCTGATGATATCTATTCCTGCTCAACATTTGAGTCTACTCCTAGACTATACTCTCTCCTATGGATATTGGATGGCTTATGCACTTGTGCATGTGTGTGTGGCAGGAGAGGTGCACGGGGGGAGGAGCAAGATGAGGATGCTGAGATTGATCTTGAAGACTCATCTGTGTCGGAAGGTCAAAATGGGAAGACACTAGACATCCCAATGGGACTGGACTCAGCCATCCTGTGGAGCATTGATCAGTGTCCCTGGGATGACCTGAAACGGAAGATGTATTCCTGCGTCCTAGTCATTGGAGGTGGTTTCAAATTCCATGGAGTTGGGACCTGGCTCAAGAATCGCCTTTCTCTGCAAATTCCATACAGCCATCGACCTGAGGTCCTGGATGTTGTGACCCGACCCAAAGACATGGATCCTCAGATGACAGTGTGGAAGGGGGCTGCCATCATGTCCTGCTTGGAGACAGCACAGGAACTGTGGATCAGCCAGAAGGAATGGACCAGATTCTCAGTGAAGATCCTTAGGGAGAAGGTTCCTTTCATTTGGTGATTTACTGTTTTCCATGAATTTATTTTGTTTGAAGAAACCAAAGTTTCTGCTCATATGGAGAACAGGCATTTGAATTCATGGAAGAGCCTGTCAAGAGTTCAAGTTCATCATTGATAGTAGACTGATTTCATGAGAGTGGATGACATCTTTGATCTCAAGGACATTCAGGACTTGTCATTCAGATGACTTCTTTCACAGTAGTTCTGTGATACATAATGGTCAGCAAACCTTGATACCCATTTCTAGGCATTGCCATCTAATAAAGAATAGCTTTCCATTTACTGTAATTTTCAAGGCCCAGGTGATTCATCATATGATTTTATTATACTTTTGTGAAGATTTCAATGATGGTACTTGGGTGAGTGGCTGATATGGAGCTTCTTTTTTTCAAGAAAAAAAAAGCACCAGATCTTGCCTCAATTGCAATATACTGGCACCAGAGACTTTGTGCCAGTAAGTTACTGTTGCTATCAGAAATGATGCTTATAGTGGGTGACACCAACCAAGGTTGGAGAATACTTTGACTAAAGAGTGTGCCAAGCTCTTCCCAGATTTAGAAATTAGATTTTTTGGTGAGCGCAATTCATTATGTGTGAATGGAAGAAATACACTCAAATATCAAAAAAGGATATAAGAGCACCACCTCGTCTATGAACTCATAATCCACTTGCACCTGGACTCCCTGGGAGCCAGAATAGGTAGGTGGCGATGGTACAGTGGATGTTCTGCGTGTTCTCTTGGAAGGCCTTTGCGTCGTTCTTAATTGTTATTTATGACCTAGAATCCCTCACGAGAAATATGGAGGGGAAGAGTTATTCAACCAAAAGCCCGATTCGAACTACCCCTCTTTTATTTATTTATTTTTGTTTAGTTTGGGAGATAGAGAGGATCCAACTCTGGTTGGTGTCGCGGACTGCGAAAAAAGTAAAAACCACAACCAACCAACATTAATAAAATCATAACTTTTCGATGAGTGACTGTAACAGAGCGAAACTCGCGTCGTCAAATAGATATTGGAATGTTCTTTCATATGCCATAGAACCACATTGTTTAAAAAAAAAAAAGAGGTCAAAGTTCGCCAAAATGCAAAGAAATTGGATATTCGGCTTTCATTTTCTGCATGTGGGGATGATGAGAGCAAAATAATACTTATGAAACTAAGCCAGAGGTGGACTCTTACTACTGCAAATTTGGTTTTATTATGTTGGTTCCCACAAAAGATAATGAGGTCATGAAATTGTCAAAATTAGTACATTTTGAAAAATACGTGTAATTCAGGTTTCATAAAACCCTAATTTTCTTGGTTATAATTGCATACTACTATTTGAGACTTCCATTTCTAGCTGATGCAGTTTGAAAGGTATGAAATTCGCTCGAGGAGTCACACGTGCCTGAAAACCGAAATTCATGTTCCTATCATGTACCAATGGGAAGAAAAATAAAGAAATTTGGATTCTGGAGTCTCACGTAAGACCTGTTAGCTCAGTATTTTTTTTTTTTACATTTTTCTGAGATGGTCGAGCGTAAAGCCATCTGGTCAGTTGGCATGGAATGGCCCACTTGTGTCCCTACAATCTTCTCTGCGCGTGCAAGCTTTAATTTGCTCTTAAACATTCATCATGGCTTAACGATGGAAAAATTATTTTTTAACGAAACTCTAATTTTCCCATGTTTGGTTGTACCTATGCCAAACTTATAAAATTTCCAACCGCCCACTCACCTTCGGCGAGTACGTTAAGCGGATTGGCGAGTGAAAAGAAAAGAAATGCCTGACTAGTTAAAATCAGATCGTCTGGCGAGTAAAAGGAAACAAGGAACTGCGGCAACTCCCCCTTGTGCGAGTTTTGTCTTCTATTCCCTGCGTTCGAGTTCGCATTGTCCAGCGTAATGCTGTACCTTAGACATACGTTGCGATTGACCTATATGTGCGCTGCGAACTGCAATTTTGGCCGTTGAGAGGGCGGGGGAAGGAGAGATGTTGCCTGGTTGGTGACATTTTTTCTGGGCTGGTCTTAGCCAATTTTCTTTACACAGATTTCTGTCATTTTGACTGCTGTTTTGAAAAACAAACCCTACTAAAGTATTGACTTAACCGATGGTTCTGGCCGGAACGATAGAGGCACTTAAAAATTTTTTTTATATGCCTACACTCTTAAACATCCCAAGCAGCATGTTCACGTAAACAAGATATCAATTTTTTGCAAACAACGTAAATTTCTTGAGATTGCCATGAAAATGACATCACGTTAACGGAAACTTTACGTTCCTATATTTATGTCACTAAAGTGTACGTGTATTTTACATCAACTAGACGTCACTCCATCTGACGTGAAGTACATGATATCAAGAGTAAAATTTACGTTCCTATATTTATGTCACCAAAGTGTACGTGTATTTTACATCAACTAGACGTCACTCCATCTGACGTGAAGTACATGATATCAAGTTTATGACAAATTAGCACCACACCATCCATATGAAACTTTAGCTGACCATCGTGCTGCTGCAGTACCAAGATTCCTCACTAGATGGAACCCTTGTTCCCTGCATCCTGCAATTTCTATTAAGTACTGGTTTTCCTGATATAGTATCAGGTTTTCTTAGCATCCTTCTACTTTTTATTATCCAATCAATGAATATATATATGGAAAACATGAAATTATTATATATATATTTATAATATATGACTCAGGTAATCATTAAATGCTGAGTTTAAGCTTTTTATTACAGCAGTGCACGGGATTAGGGATGAGTAGCATCCCAGCCACAAGTACCACATCTTCTCTATCCTAAAATTCTCTATCCTAAAAGGAAGAGAGTTCCTTTGAACATCTACTTCTCCTCCCAAGGTTCCGGTAAGGGAGGAGGAAGCAGTAAATCACTTAGGTACTCTTGAGTGCTGGTGAGGATGAGTACTCGTGTACTCGTCCAACCACCCTAGAGCTCTGAAGAACGTAAAGGAATAGAAGATTCAGTATATGAATTGTATATAAAATGGTACTGATTGGCTCTTTTAATACGCATGAATGCCAGGGGGAAATTGACATAAATCTTACGTAAAATGAATGTAAACATGCTGTTTGAAATGCAAACGGGAATGTCAATTTTACGTAAAATTGACGTTAATTTTACATCACCTTTTACGTATCACAGAGGTGACATTTCTGCAAACATGTTGACATTTTCTTGACAATGGTTTGCGTAAAAATGATATAAAATGGACAAAAAANTGTTGACATTTTCTTGACAATGGTTTGCGTAAAAATGATATAAAATGGACAAAAAAAGTTGCATTCATTTTACGTAAAATTAACAGAAACATGCTGTTTGGGTTCCTGTCTATCACTTCAGTATACAGGCTTAACTTTCTTAATTTTTAACTTGCCCTGGGGCATTTATCTCTACATAAGGTGAACTCAAAGTGAATTTTTTACATGGACGTTTCTTATTCTAGGGCTGTACCGATGTTTCGGCAACCGACGGCATGGCACCATCAGCAGGTTTCCTATCTGGCGGAGCCGATGTTGGACATCGGCAGACATTGTAGAACGAAGAAAAAGAGGGAAAAAATTACGTGAACTTGGCAGCTGATTCTCAACGGCAATAGGAAAAAATGAGGGCTGTCCTGATGCATCCATCGATGAATACCCAAACAGCATGTTTCTGTTAATTTTACGTAAAATGAATGCAACTTTTTTGCCTATTTTATATCATTTTTACGCAAACCATTGTCAAGAAAATGTCAACATGTTT